CCAATAGCCATGCCTCCCAGCATCCACATCCTTATATAGTCCCTTTCCCTTGAATCTGGGCTGGCTTTAGGACCTGCTTAAAATGCAATAAAATGTGGTGGAAGTGACACTGGGCCAGTTTTGGACCAAAGCTTTCAGAGTACCTGGCAGATTTGGTTTTTGCACTCTAGTGGGAGCCAGATACCATATATAAAGACTGACTACCATAAGACTACATGCTATGAAAGCCCAACCTAGCCACATGGGAAGCCACATGGAGGAGCACTATTAGGGGTTATGTGTTTGTGTCCTCTCCAAATTCATATGTTGAGGCCCTAACCCCCAATGTGATGGTATGTGGAAATGGGGCCTCTGGGAGGTACTTAGAGTTAGTAGAGGTCATGAGAGTGGGGCCTTTATGATGGGATTAGTGCCATTATAAAGAGAGTTAGTGTGCTTGCACTGACTCCCCGCTCACCAACCCCACCAGCCATTTGCACAAAGAAGAGGTCATATGAATATGCAGAAGGCAGCCATCTGAAAACCAAGGGGAGAGCTCTCCTCAGGCTCAATTCAACCGTGCTGGCACCCTGATCTCAAACTTGCAGCCTCCAGAAATATAAGAAAATTAATTTCTGTTGTTTAAGCCACCCAGTCTATGATATTTGTTATGGCAGCCTTAGCAAACTGATACCAGCACTGAGCACCAATGCCCCAGGGGCCCACCCAGATGACACCCAGCACCACTTTGGCAGAAATGCAAGTGAGGCCATCTTGGGAGTAGGTGCTGCATCCCCAAGGGAGCTGTCCCAGCATTAGAGAGATACTGAGTAGAGACCAGTCATCTCCATCAAGCTCTGCGCAAATCGCAGAATTACCAGCAAATAAGTCAAATGACGGTTATTTTAATCCAGTAAGTTTTACATGTTACACAACAAGAGATAACTGAAACAATAGGGATATTTTAAACTCTTGCTGTAGTGTAGAATATGCATCCCTTAAGAGTAGTTAACAAAAGTAAGTAAAGAATTTTATTTTGAAATTACAATTGAAGTTGCTGAAGTGTGTTTGAGTTTGATATTGCTCTGAGAATGAACTACATAAGTGATGAATTCATGAACATTATACAAAATAAAAATGTGCAGGCTTTGTGTTCTGACAGAGGTGTAACAATGTTTATATGGGCAATTGGAAAAATTAGTTTAAAATCTTAATGTGGTACAAATATGAAATAAAAGTTTATATCCCAGAAAGATGTGAGTGGTGATGTACCATAGTCTATGTGATTTTAAAATACCATTAAAAAAACATGTAAAAAAAAAACATGTAAAATGCTTGTTAAAAATGATTAAAGAAGACAATTTCAATGATACAAATTTTATTTAACACTTTATGAAACAGACTGTTTCCATTCAAAGGACAACAAAATGAGACAAAGGCAGGAAGCTTTTACAGGATAGATAATAACGAATAAGGAAGAGAAAAATAGAAAATATCGGATTGGCTGCGGCCACATAGTCAGCCTTGTTTGGAGCAAGAAGGAACAAGGAAAGAAGTATAGAGCCCGAGCTGCCTTGCTGTTTGGGGGTTGGCTGACTGGATATACGGTCGGCCCACCATATGCATGGGTTGGGCAACCGCAGGTTCAACCGACTGCAGATCAAATTCAACCCCTGGTTCATTGAATTTGAGGATGGAGAACACAGATATGGAGGGCCGGCTGTACTACCATTTTATGTAAGGCACTTGAGCATCCCTGTGGATTTTGGTCTCCACAGGGGTCCTAGAACCAATCCACCACTGATGCCAGGGATGATTGTACTACATTTCTGGTCAAGCAGAACATGTAAAGGGTTGCAAAAGTGACCTAAGTTTTGGTTTGCTGATGTGGCACCTAGGCAGGAGTGGCTTCATCTTGGGCCTAGAAAGTATTTCAACAGGCTCATGTTAGTAATTAAATTAATTGAAGAGGGGAAATTTTCTTTTTTTTAAATTAATTTTTCTTGGAATATAGTTGCTTTACAATTTGTGTTAGTTTCTACCATACAGCAAAGTGAATCAGCATTATGTGTACACATATATCCCCTCTTTTTTGGATTTCCTTCCCATTTAGGTCACCACAGAGCACTGAGTAGAGTTCCCTGAGCTATACAGTAGGTTCTCATTAGTTATCTATTTTATGCATAGTATCAATAGTGTATATACGTCAACCCCAATCTCCCAATTCATCCCACCGCCCCCCCTTTCCTCGTTGGTATCCATGTTTGTTCTCTATGTCTGTCTCTATTTCTGCTTTGCAAATATCATCTATACCATTCTTCTAGATTACACATATATGCGTTAATATGAGATATTTGTTTTTCTCTTCACTCTGTATGACAGTCTCTAGGTCCATCCACATCTCTGCAAATGACCCAATTTCATTCCTTTTACGGCTGAGTAATATGCCATTGTATATATGTACCACATCTTCTTTATCCATTCCTCTATTGATGGACATTTAGGTTGATTCCATGTCCTGGCTATTGTAAATAGTGCTGCAATGAACATTGGGGTGCATGTGTCTTTTTGAATTATGGTTTTCTCTGGATATATGCCCAGTAGTGGGATTGCTGGGTCATATGGTAGTTCTATTTTTCGTTATTTTATTTTATTTTATTTTTCGTTTTTTGAGGAACCTCCATATTGTTCTCCATAGTGGCTGCACCAATTTACATTCAAGGAGGGTAAAATTTCTGATGTTGGCCACTAATCATTTGCAACACTGTAAAACTTAAGCCCTAGGTGGCCTGGTATCAATGACACAATGAAACTTTCAAGTCATCTAAAATTAGTTCTTCTTAAGATTTAGAACCTTGTTTTATTAGAAATCATGGATAACAGGGGTTTTGGTCCCCTTGGACTTGAAATGAAGGGCGCTGCCTAATGTCGATGGACAAGATGGCTTGGGAACATTGGCATTATCATACTGGATCAGACATGGTTTACCAAGCTCAGAATATTATGGCTGCAGAGCAATTGGAAAGCATAGTCCTCCTTCCTGATATTCACCATGAAGAGTAGGTAACTATGAGCTAACAGAATGTTCAAGTATGGCATTTAACTCTCTAATTTCTCCTCTAAAATTCTCTAGGTATTTGCTGACAGCAAGGATGAGATTGCTTTAGGTCTGTTTGGTTAAGTTTTCCTTCCTCAGGTCTAGGCTTTTACATACCTCTCTGAGCCCTTTTGAAATGATTTTATTTTATGAGCCTATTTCTTCCACTAGGTGGCGAGCCCAATTAGGGTGAGGATTACATCAACTTCACCTAGGTATCCCATGCTCCTTACCTTGACCCCACCCTCCTTCATTCTGCCAGGGACATCTTATCCTTGTTCTAATCATGACTGTTTTTCGCCTTGGCCATTTGTTTCCTTAACCCCCGAAAAAAATGTGACAAATGTGGCTGCAACTTCCTAATGTAAGCTTAGGTAAATCTGTGATCTGTGGAACAAATCCAGCTAAACAGAATCCTCATAAATTGGTGGTCTATGGGAAGAGTCAAGACATAAGGACCCATATTAAGATCATTATACATATATAAAATAGTCACCACGCTCAACCTTTTCTGAACACTGTAGCGTTCAAAGCAATTTTGGAGAAACTCAAAGACAAAGTGAGCAAACGTTAATCTGATTTTATTTTTATTTTCTTTGTCTTCATTTCAATTGTTTATATCTCTGTAAAAGCACCAGAGAGCACCAACATTATCTTCAAACGTGTTGGACACAATTGTTGTTCTTTTTCTCAAACTAATAATAGTTATTTTTAAAAAGGAGGGGTTTCCTCTGAAGGTGGAGTACAGCACCGTGCATCAGGCAAATGTCCTGGCCTTCCGTGGGACAGCATTGCTTGACCCATCTGGTTTGATTCACAGCAGTTCTTTCAACAGCTTCTTCCTGAGACATGAACCATGAATAGGGCACCAGCTATTCTTATAAGGACTCAAACCTCCAAAATCTGCTTGACCTCTTAGGATTTGATTTTTTTGAAATTGGAGAGACCCTCAGGAATATTTTTTGAAAGTTCAGAATCTATTGATCTGGATCCATCTGGTTTACTCAGCGTCCATGAAGACCCAAGCTTTTCAGCACAGCAAAGACTGTGTTTGCTGTGAGAAGAAAGTTCTGAGTGAGGGAGGCTCTGAGTGAGTTTTGACAAACCACACAAAGCTAACTGTCTTCTTGTGCTTGGGGCTGCTGACCTTGCTGGGGTAAAGTCTGACAGATGCAATGCCTCCCTTTGCAGTCTTTCATCTGTACATTAAACTAAATATCACCACACAGGCCCACCTTCACTACCGGGAAGAAAGCTATGCCACTATGATATAATTGTATTCAACTATTCACTCTTCCTTTCTAAAAAACCTGAAACCACATGGCATTATAGATATTTAATTGCAACATACATGAGTTGCTAATATCTACGTGTGGTTTATGCATAGTATATGTAGCTAGTATCTATGTATAAATTCTCTGTGTAGTATTTAGGCTTAAATAAATAAATACATACATACATAAATAAAACTGTACTCGCAGTTTTGGATCTGAATGTATTTAATCTCTGTGAGCCAGAGATTCTTACTTGCCTACCAAAATAGCCATTATTTCCTTGTCTCTTAAATTAGCAGAACCCAAACATTTAGAATATAGCCGCCCGGCCAAAAGACTACATTTCCCAGCCTTTCTTGCTTGTGAGGTCATGTGACTACCGTCTGGCCAATGAGATACAAGAAGTGTTGAGGGGGCCTTCTGAGAAGCCGCCTTAGCCTAGGAGGGTGTATGTGCTCTTCGTTGCCCTTTCCTCTGTTCTATCCGAAACAGGGATGTGATGACTGGAGATGTAGTCAGCACTGGGTGTTGAGGATAAAGGCAGTGAGGGTTGGTGAATAAAAAAAGCCTGGGATTCTAATGACTTCATCAATTTCCCTGATGGTCTGCCTCCAGACTTCTTCTATACAGGAAAGAAACTGACCTCTATCTTGTTTAAACTACTGATATTTGGATTTTAATTATATTTAATATATAAATCAAAATCTAAGTGATACACACATATCTTTACATTCTGCTACACTGTTGCAGCCTGCTTCTTAAATATTTCACTCCATCCCTATCTATTATCTTATTGGTGGACTTGGGTCTCCCGTGAGCCTCCTTATTCTCCCTGTCACATTTAGTCACATCTCCCCTGGGTTCCAGGCACCAGGAACACCTCCAAGCTCCTGAACTGACACACACCTGAGCTCCCTTGTCTCAGAAAAATGGTCATCTTAGGTCAAGGAATGAAGAAGAGTTTATCCATTGGATGGACTATCTGGGCACAGATTGCTTTTCTGTTTTCTGCCCTCCTGGAAACCAACAAGATGGTAGGACAGATCAGTGTGAGCTAAAATTTTCCAGAAGAACTGTGTACGGGGGAAGGCGGGGGAGGAATAATTTAAAGAAGGAATATTCTGAAATTGGAAGATGATATACAGCTACTGAGACCAGAGAATCAAGTAAGTTGTTGGGAGTTTAGACAGTGGATGTTTCTACCTCCTGGGTGGCATCCTTGTTGGACAGATTGCCTGAGATATTGTCAGATTCAAGCAGCTCCACAATGCTGTAGGGAGAACAGTCTTCCAGACCCAGCTTGCTGCACAGCCAGCCACAGAAGCCTTTCTCCATGTCCCGGGCAGCTTGCCACCATGCTCCCCAGGACCATGAGAGCTGGACCACGGCAGCATAGAGGCCCAGGGAAGAGGCCATGGCCATGATGAGCACTGGATAGAAGAGAATGAGGCAGGGGCAACATGAGATCTTGTGCCAGAAGGTCCTTTCCTCGTTGTACACAAGAAAGATATTGTACCAGGTGATGGTGCCATAGTAGAAAGAGACCACGAAGGAGAGGATGAAAACCACAGGCAGGCAGACAAGCGTCCAGAGGACCACGTGGGGCCCACGGTCTGCTCCCAGCTGGCAGGCCTTTCTGCCTTCAGGTGCCATTTCCCTTGAAGACACTTTAGGCTTGGTGAGTTCCTGCAGCTCCTTCTCTGTCAACGTGACATGGATATCCACCATCTGCCCCTTTTTCTTCCCTCGGGTGATGGTCCCAGTTAATGTGACATAGCGGCTGTCCACAGGCATGTTCCACATACCTGCAGGGCATAAAAAGGGGAAAGTCAAGATCAGAAGAGTAGACATTTCATCAGAGCGTCATCCTCTGAGACTGGAGCCGAGTACAAGAATGTCCATTATTATAGCCCCTGACACGGTACACCCTGACATGGTACGAAATCAGTGTTTCCACGATGGACTGAATGGGTCTCCCTCAGGGGAGGGATTAGTACTCCCATGGTAAACTCTCACATCAGGGCCCTGAAGCAGGTTAAACTTGTTTCTCATCCTCTCTCCACTTTTCTGGGCCTCTGTCATGTCTGTGATATGGAGGGGAGTGAGGAACTCTACCACAGACACCACTTCATAGTGACCTTATTTCTAGTTTACAAGTGCTGTGAAAATACTGTTTCTGAGTATCAGCTACTGTGTGTAAAGGTGGTGCTGTGTGTGTGTTATACTGATGAGCAGCCCACCCCTCTTCTCTCCTCATTCCTAACCCCATGCTTCTCTGAGAGGGTCCTCCTCATATGCTGGTGGACATCCCAGCCTTCATATCCAAATTCTGTACACACACAGGCACCACACATACACACGCACAACACACACACATTCCCCAACAAAAATACACCAGCATCATCACCAGCATCACCACCAGCATCACCACCACCAGCATCACCATCATCACCAACACCACCACCAGCATCACCATCAACAGCATCACCACCACCAGCATCACCACCATCACCACCACCAGCATCACCATCATCACCACCACCACCACCACCAGCATCACCACCATCACCACCACCAGCATCACCATCATCACCACCACCAGCATCACCATCATCACCACCAGCAGCATCACTATCGTCACCACCACCACCACCACCAGCATCACCACCACTACCACCAGCACTACCACCACCACCACCAGCATCACCACCACCAGCATCACCACCACCAGCATCACCATCGTCACCACCACTACCCTCCTCCCATCCTCCACTTCTAGACTACACTTCACATACTATGGACTGTGGATTTTGCTGTTTCACTACCTGCAATCTCACTGCTGGGATGGCCAAAGAGTGGCTGTTT